AGAAAGGAAGAAGATGACCGTGAGTTATTTTATTTTATTTTTTAAAATATAAATAATAATAATGTGAGTTGGCATGAAAAAGAAATCCATCGAGCAACACGTTTTCAATTTGATTTTGCCACGTCATCAAAAAAATTATAAAAAATGCCACATAAGTGAGTTAACGATCGAAATTAACAGAAAGACTAACGGAATGCATTTCGTATAATTGAGGGATCAAAAAAGTGCAAAAAATTGTTGAGGGACCAAAAATGTTCATTTTTTAAAGTTGATGGACCAAATTAAGCATTTAACCAAGTTTTAATTTCACATTAATTGATCACCTAAATTGCAAGTCTCCACTTTTATAAGTATGTTCTAATTTTTTAGTATATTTTTATTTTAAAATTTAGTTCAGGAAAATATTATATTCTTAATTATTGATTGGTTAAATATGATTATATTGATTAATTGGTTGATTGAAAAATTATGATTATATTTTTTAATTGATTTATATAAATTATGTTTATTTTGATTAGTTAATTAGTAAATTATGAATAGATTGTTTTAAGTGATTGATAAATTGTGATTATATTAATTAATTCATTTCTAAATTATAATTATTTTGATTTATTATTAATTAATTCATTGGTAATTATTATTATATTGATTGATGAATTATTATTATTATATTATTTAATTAATTTATAAATTATGATTATATTAATTAATGGATGGATACGTAAATTAATTATAATTGGATTGATTTATTATTAATTGATTAGTTATTGATTGTTAAATTATAATTATATTGTTTACTTGATAAGTAAATTATTATTATATTGATTAATTAATTAATTAGTATGTAAATTTATATTTTATATATTAAGTAATTCATTGGTTTAATTATTATATTGTTTTTTTAATAATTATATTAATTAATTAGTAGGTAAATTTACATTATAATTATTAATTAATTGAATGATTACTACGTATTTAATTTAATTTATTATTGTTTTAATTGTTATAATTTTTATTTTTATTTGTATGTTTTTTTATATTTCTCAATTCATTAATCTTTCTATTTTTTTTTTTTAGGTCCACTATCAAATTCAAAATTTTAATTTCAGTTTAATTCCAAACCAGAATTGTAGGTCTCCTACTTTTAAAAGCATGTTCTAAGTTTTTACTATATTTTTATTTTGAAATTTAGTTTAGGAAAATATTATAATATTAATTATTGATTGGTTAAATATGATTATATTGATTAATTGGTTTATTGAAAAATTATGATTATATTTTTAATTGATTTATATAAATTATGTTAATTTTGATTAATTAATTAGTAAATTTTGAATAGATTGTTTAATTGATTGATAAATTATGATTATATTAATTTATTGATTTGTAAATTATAATTACATTGATTAATTAATTCATTCATTGGTTAATTATTATTATATTGATTGATTAATTAATTGGTAAATTATATGTTAAAGTGTTTATATTAACTTTTAATTTTAGTTTATAAAATATGTTTACTACATTATCAAATTTGAATATATTTTTTTGTGTGGGGATATGAATTTTTTTAATAAAAATTTAATTTGTAATAAAAATTTAAGGAAAATTTTCAAATGATGGGAGATTGACATTGGATGTATCATCGTTTAGATGATAATGGTTGTTTTGTTGATGAATTCAAAATTGACATAGAGTACTTCTTGGATTTTGCATTTTCCCAGTCCAATCCAAAATTTTGTAATAGAAATCGCATTAGGTGTCCAGGCAAGAAATGTATGAATGGTGAATGGCAAATGGTGAATGGCAAATGGCGAATGGCAAATGGCGAATGGCATCGTCATGTTATTGTTTAGTGTCATTTGACAAAGAAAGGTTTTATGAATGGGTATGTAGTCTGGCTTGCACATGGAGAGCAAGTAGTGAGAAATCGACGTCATCAATGGGGGGAATCCTCGAGTGTAGTTCCTTTTGTGATGGAAGAACTAGGTAATGATCCAATTAGGGACATGGTTATGGATGCAATGAGTTCACATGGTATAAAATATAATATGAATGATCAAACTAGTGATCAGCCAATCTTTGAGGAGGCAATGGGAGATGCAAAGGAATTTTTTGATCTTTTGCAAACTGCTAATACACCACTTTATGAAGGATGTGATGAGGGTGATACAGTACTAAAATGGGTGTCTCATTTTATGAATGCAAAGACACTTTATAATATGAGTGTGGCTAATTGAAATTATGTGTTAAAGTGCAATAGAAGATGGATTAAGCCAGAGGATCGAGATAGGATTCCAAAAGATTTTTACAGTGCTAAAAAGATGGTGAGGTGCTTCAGTCTAGGTTATAAGAAGTATGATGTTTGTGTAAATAATTGCTTCTTGTATTATGGTGAATATGAAGGCAAAAACTATATCACATGTCCAGTATGTGGTGAACCTCGTTATCAGCAGGTACATGTGCAGCAAAATCAATATATACCAAGAAAGTCATTGTGGTACCTCCCAAATACACCTAGACTGAAAAGGTTGTACATGTGCAGAAAAACTACTGAGCACATGACATGGCACCTTACTTGTGGTGGTAATCTGAAAAGATTGTGCATCCTGCCGATGTTAAGGCATGGAACACTTTGATCGCACCTACCTTGACTTTGCATCCGATCCAATGAATGTAAGGCTTGGATTGTGCATAGATGGGTTCACTCCATTTGGACATGCAGCAACCTCGTACTCATGTTGGCCTGTATTTTTGACTATTTACAAATTAACTCCATCAATGTATATGAAACCGGAATCCATCTTTCTTTCTCTAATAATACAAGGGCCTCAAAGTCCAGTCCCATTGATTGATGAATTAAAGGAACTTTGGTATAATAGGGTCAAACATATGATAGCTTTAGGCATCAACATTCCATTATGAGAGCAGCACTTATGTGGACAATTACTGACTTCCCTACATATGGCATGTTATCTGGATGGAGCATACATGGTAGATTATCATGTCCGTATTGTCAACAAAATTCTAAGGCATTTCACCTCCCAAATGGTCAGAAGATATCATATTTTGATTGTTATCGATAGTTTTTACCCCCTGATCATCCATTCAGAAAAAATAAGAATGATTTTAAAAAGGCCATGTAGAGAATCATGCTCCACTAGAGAGATTGTCAGGTGATCATATGTTCTGACAAGTTCAGTAGTTGCCTAATATACTATTTGGGAAGCCATCCCAAAAACAGGTGATTGAAGGATTTTGTTATTGGCATAATTGGGTTAAAAAAAGTATCTTTTTGGAGCTTCCTTATTGGAGTACAAACTTAGTCCGTCATAACCTTGATGTCATGCACTATGAGAAAAACTTTTTTGATAATATCTTTCACACCATCATGGATGACTTATTGACGAAGGACAACTTGAAGGCAAGGATGGATATAGAATTATATTACAATAGGCCAAGTCTTTGTATACCAAAAACAGGTACTAATGTAGGTAAAAAACCTACAGCCACTTATGCCTTAAATAAAGAGCAGAGCAAATCAGTGTACCAATTGCTAAAGAATCTTAGATTTCCTAATGGTTTTGCATCCAACATCTCTCGATGTGTGAATATGCAACAGGTGAAAGTTAGTGGGATGAAGAGTCATGATTGTCACATATTCATGCAAAGTCTCCTTCCAATTGCATTCCGTGACTTTCTCCCAAAACAAGTTTGGAAGCACTTACAGAGATCAGTGAGTTTTTCAGAACCTTATGTTCTCCAGCCATTCATGTTATAGATATGGAGATTTGGCATACAAAGATTGTCGAAACAATATGCCAACTTGAAAGAATTTTCTCTCCTTTTTTTTTTTTTTATTCAATGGAGCATCTAGCAATATACCTTCCATATGAAGCCATGGTGGGGGGACCAGTGCAATTCTGTTGGATGTATCCATTTAAGAGGTATTATTAGAATATATAATTTTTTAATATTATATATATAATATAAAACATAATTTTATTGAATTATTATTAATTATTTTAAAATCTTTTTCATGAATTAGACGAATGCATGGATTGAAAGGTTCGGTGAAAAATAAAGCCCATCCTAAAGGATCAATATGCGAGAATTACATAATAAGTGAGATTTTATACTTTATCTCGCTTTATTTTGAAGGAGAAGTTGAGACCAGAGGTGATGATCGCATATCCAAAAATCTTGTTGGCCTAGGTCTTCTAGTTAGAATATATAGATTTTATTTAGAATGGTGTAACTTCAGATGAAATAAAATGAATTATATATCTATATATAGATTTGAATGAGAATGATGTAATTTCATAGCAAAGGAATACATAAATTATTTATGAATGACTATATATAATAATTATTTAATAAATAAGACATATATATTATTATATTATTATAATAACATTATTATAATTATATATTGCATATATATTAAATACATATAAATGCATACCGTACTTAATGCATAGGGTAGCAATATATATATATATAAAGATAAATATGACAAATTATATCAACATAGTTAGATGAAACCTATAAACTATAATTAGAAGGATGTGAAATATGTTTAATTTGATTTTATTTATAGTTGTAAATTTTGTTAATTTATAAATAACATGGTTAATTCTTAATATCTTCAATTCAAGAATACAAACTTCGAGTTTATTCTTCATGTAAACATTAATTGATGGAGATGGAGAAGTGGCAAATGTTTAGTATATATATACATGATGACGTTTGTAGACACAACTTGAATTTGCTGAGGTGTTTCATTGAGTGGATAAAAAAAATTAAAATGGATAGCGCTTTCAAATCACTGGGCACATTGAGTCAAACAAATTGATTGTTAAAAGGTCTAACGTGTTTTATCCCGATTTAACAGTGATGGACTTTTTCCTATTTTTTTTCATGCACTGCTACTCTCTCCTTCTTCTATGTTTTCATATAAAATTCAATTTCAAATCACTAGAGGAAAACATATGTTATGGGTAAGATATTTATGTTTAAAAATTAGAATAATCAATGTGACTCACCAGGTACAATTGGTCTATTCTATCGACCATTATTAATTCTTAATTTACGAAAGAATCAATTACCTTTCATTTCTTAATTGTGCATTGCAAAGATATGGCAGATCAAGGCGGTAGATAATTGAGTGAAGACTTGACCTTGCAGGGAGTTGCAGTATGCATTTTTTCTAGTGCATTTATTAGTATGTCTGCATATATCAATGTTATAACACCCCTCCTCAAACTCAAGATGGTGAAGAGGAAACCAACTTGAGTTTGGATAAAAGGGCATGGAAGCGTCCAGGGAAATGTGCCTTAGTAAAGAGATCTGCTGGCTGATCAATGAAGTCAATGTAGATTAAATGAATAGTTCCTCGATTAACATGTTGGTGAATAAAGTGACAATCGATCTCAATATGTTTGGTACGCTCATTAAAAACATCATTGTGAGCAATTTGTATAGCAATTTGTATAACACTTTGATTATCACAATAAAGATTTGTTGTAAAGGACTATGAAACACCCATATCCTCAAGAAGCCAACAGATCCAAAGAAGTTCTACCACGGTATTAGCTAAAGCCCTATATTCAGCCTCAGTGCTAGAGCGAGATACAAAGGTTTCTTTCTTGCTACACCAAGAGATAAGAGAGTCTCCAAGAAAAAGGCAATAACCGGTAGTGGATTTACGATCAATAGGATCACCAGCCCAATCAGCATCAGAATTTGCACAAAGTACAAGTGAGGAATGAGTAGAAAAATGGAGTTCAAGAAATAGTGTTCCCTTGACATAATGAATAATGTGAAGTACAATTGCATAATGAGTGGAGCGAGGGGTAGCCATAAATTGACTAACAATATGAACTGCATATGCTATATTAAGGCGTGTTATAGTGAGATAAACCAAGCTCCCAACTAATTGTTGATACACTGTAGGATCTCTAAGTGGAAAGCCATCCATGGGTGTAAGCCGAGCATTTGGTTCAAGAGGTGTTGAAGCAATCTTACTATCAATCAATCCAGCTCTAGAGATAAGATCAGATGCATACTTTGCCTGAGAAAGAAGGTAGCCATCGTTTGAGGAGGTGACCTCAAGTCCTAAGAAATAACTTAAAGGACCAAGATCTTTCATCTTAAATTTTTGGTTAAAAAAGTGCTTAAGCTCACAGATACCTGAAATATCATCTCTAGTGATAATCATATCATCAACATAAAGAAGCAAAAGAATCATTCCCTGAGCAATCTTACGAATAAACAAAGCAGTACCATATGGACTTGAGGAGAAACCAAACTCACTAACAATTGCACTAAATTTTGCAAACCAGGCTCGAAGAGATTGCTTTAAGCCATATAATGCACGTCTCAGTTTGCATACTTTATGTGGAGGATGATCAAGACTAGGAGGTGGTTTCATATAAACTTCCTCTGTTAGATCACCATTAAGAAATGAATTTTTTACATCCATTTGAAATACTTTCCATTTTTGTATAGCAGCAATGACAAGCAAACTGCGAACGGTAGTGAGGCAAGCAACTGGAGCAAATGTCTCCTCATAGTCAATTCCATATTCCTGTGTAAATCCTATAGCAACCAAATGTACTTTATAGCGCTCCACAAATCCATCAAAACATGTTTTGATTTTGTACACCCACTTGCATCCAACCAAAGTCTTATCAATAGGGAGATCAACCAAGTCCCATGCACCTGTCTTTTCTAAAGCCTGTAATTCATCTTGCATAACTTGTTGCCAGAGAGGGTCAGAGGATGCCTCTTTATATGACTAAGGTTCATGTAAGGAAATAAGAGAAGAAAAACAATGGTAATCTTGAAGGTAGTTAGGAGGATTTCTTACCTGAGTAGGACGGTTTGAAGAAGAGGCAACATGTATATTCTCAGCCTCAATAGTTTTTGGTGCAGTATCAACAGAAAGAAATTCATTTGGAGAAGGCATTATAGTAGGTTGTTCATTTGTAAACTCACCAAAAATCCCTGCATCATCCTCAAAGAATAATTCAAGAGATGGGTTAGTGAACAAAGGAGTTTGATAAGAAGAGGACACCTTAAAGTCTGAAAGAGGAGAGAACATAGTATGTTCCCAAAAAACCAACATGACGAGACACACGAAGTTTTTGTGACACATGATCCCAACAACGATTACCTTTATGTTGTATCCCATAACCCAAAAGACAACATAATTGAGCTCGAGGCTCCAACTTGTTATGTTCATGTGGAGGAAGAAGAACAAAACATGCACATCCAAAGACCTTAAGAAGATTATAAGTAGGAAGAACACCATGAAGACACTCATAGGGAGATTTGTTGTTGATGGCAGTATAGGGGATACGATTTATGATATAAACAGTTTTAAGAGCAGCTTCACCCCAAAAACGCTCAAGACAGGAGGATGAAAGTAGGAGAGCTCGAACTGAATCCAAGATATATCGATGTTTACGTTCAGTTCGTCCATTTTGTTGGGAAGTATATGGACTAGATCTTTGTTGTATTGTACCCTGCCCTTTAAGAAAATTTGGAAGCTTGGAGTCAAGATATTCCAGAGCATTATCAGCTCTTAAAACTTTGATTGTCTTAGAAAATTGAGTTTTAACCATATTAGCAAAATCAATGTAAAGCTAGGGAACTCAAAACATTTTTCCATCAAATATATCCAAGTGAAACGAGAATAATCAACAACAAAAATCACAAAATACTTTGAACCCCCCCATAGTAGATATTGGTGAAGGACCCCACACATCAAAATGAATCAAATCAAAAGGTGCAACAAAAATAGTGTCACTTTTATTGAAAAACAAAGCAGGTTGTTTAGCGACTTGACAAGAGACACAATGTAAAGACTGTTCTTTAACAAAACCTAAATATCCATTAGAAAGTAAGGGATGGAGTTTACTCATAGAAGCATGGCCAAGACAAAGATGCTACAAGTGTAAAGAGAGGTTTGTTGAAGTAGCACATAATTGGGAAATGCGATTAGAAGGAATATGCAGAGAGGCAAGTTCAAATAAACGACCAACTCTACGACCTGTCCCAAGAATCTGTCCTGTCTGCGGATCCAACACCTGACAACCATGAGTAGAAAATATTAACTCAAGACCAAGTTCACATATTTGTCCAATAGAGATAAGGTTAAAACCAATTTTAGGAATCAAGAAGGTGTTAGGTAAAGTGAGGGTAGGGGTGGAAATTTGACCATGCTAACTAACTTACATTTGTGAGCCATCAGCAATATGAATTGGAGGTGCGATTGTGTTTGGAGTCAATTTAGTGAAAAGATGTGAATGAGAGGTTATATGATTGCAACAACCAGAGTCAAAAAGCCAAGAAGTGTTACCTTGAACAATAGACAATGCAGTAGATGTACTAAGAGCAGAAGAAGAAAGCATTTGTCCAAAAAGAGTTTCTAGATTACCAATTGACATAGTGGAGGTGGCATTTTCACTTGCAGCAGCTGCAGCTATCACAGGTTTATTAGACAAATCAGGCCTTGAATGATTCTTTCACTGATCAGATCTTTGAGAAAGTCGAGTGGGGCAATTAGAAGCAATGTGCCCTTTCTTTTTACATTTATGGCATTCAACAAGATTGCACTCATATAGAACATGTCTGAGCTTATTACAATGGTGACAAAACTTCTGTCCACCCTTAGAGGAATTGCTGTTCATAGTTGCTAGAACAGTATCAACTTGTTGAGGTCTAAGTAGCTTCAAATGAGTCTCATCAAATAGAAATCGAGATATTGCATTATCTAGAGTAGGCAATGGAGATTGATGCAATAAAGAAGCTCTGCAAGGCTCATAATCATCAGTAAGTGCCATAAGAAACTAAATTAACCTCATTCAATCACGATGCTGGGTATATTTCTCATTGTCAACAGTGCAATCAAGTTTTGGTTCAGAAAGTGCGAGTTGATCCCAAATAGCTTCCATTTTAGCATAAAAGCTAGTGATAGACTCACCACATTCCTGTTTCAAATTATGCAATTCTTCCCATAATTGATGTTGACTTGACAAATTAGAAGTAGTATACCTTTTTGCAAGTAGATCCCATACCTCCTTAGCAGTGTCATATCTCCCAAGTTGGAGATTAATAGATGGAGTGGAGGTATTAAGGAACCAAGTAATATTTTGGTGATTTTTGCTATCCCATTCCTCAAGGCGATCAACAAACTTGTCATCAGGTTCCTCGACACCTTTCTCAGGAAGCTTGATATCACCAGTAACATATCACCATAATTTCCTTCCCTTTAAAAAACTGCGCATGCCTTGAATCCAAAGCATGTAATTTGATCCATTAAGAATAGTAGAGATAGGCTGTGTAACATTGGTGAAAAATAGGAAAATAAATCCAAAAGCAAAAGCTTTAGGAACTAGTCAAGTAGCAAAGAAGGCAAACCGGATTATCCGATGAAGTCAACGTTCAAGCAGCAGAGTTGATGGCAGCTAAATTGGAGGAATCTATCACCCAATTTAGGAAGGAGCAACTGGAGAAGCACGGTTTTGGAGCTAGAAACTTAAGGAAAGAGAGAGTTTCCTTTAGCTTGATGAAAACCAAGAACGGTGCTACAAGCACCGTCAAATTACTGACTGGAAGTGATGGAGAAAACTTGAACTATGGCTAGAATTTTTCCGGAGAAAGAAATAGTAAGCCAAAACAAGAGATGGATTTTGGATTGTGACCCAAAAATCCAAACAGAAAAGAAAGATATAGTTGGGCAGAGAAGTCCAAGAACTTAATAAGGCTCTGATACCATGATAACTTTAAAAAATGGAAAATGTTTATTCATTTTTTTAACTCATTTTCTACATCTGGATAAAGGCATATGTATATATATACAAAAACAAGAAACCGACTTTTGTGTGAAACCACTTGGAGAAATTGCGTCTTGTACTACCTTGCATTAATGAAGTTGTAGACAATTGTGCATTGCAAAGATATGGCAGATCAAGGCAGTAGATAATTGAGTGAAGACTTGACCTTGCAGGGAGTTGCAGTATGCATTTTTTTTTTAGTGCATTTATTAGTATGTTTGCATATATTAATATTATAACAGATATGTTGTGCTCCTTGGACCATCAAAAAAAATACAAATGGTTATGTTATGTCAATGCTGTGTACTAAAATTTCCGTAGAAAATTTTTGAATTTTCACTCAGGGAATGAGAATCTATTACCTGATTGGAATAGATATGATATTTGCGCGCCGTATGAAAATACCTTTTTTGTTTATGATTTGATCGAGGTAGAGGAGGAAGAGAGGCAACGAACTGAGTGAAGTGCATGGAGAAAAGGGAGCCTTTTGTAAAGAAAAGAGAACATTAAAGTTTAACGGTGTTAACTAGCAAATCGTTGCATGTGATGAGTTGGTTATGATTTGGCATGAGATGATTACATGTTATTTTGTTAATAGATTGGGATACCACATCAACTGGTATACCTGGAATATAGTAAAATTTCTCTCAAAGAAAGAGAAGTGCATCTTAATTAACTTAGGTCCACTTTGAATTTTTAATTATTTGTACGATATGATAGATGAGGCAAAAGGTCATTGAATAATGTTATAATGTTTCAGGGTTTTTTTTTTTTTTTTTTCATAGTAATGGGTAAGCATAAATGGTATTATTTTTGAAAAAAAAGCCTGCGAATGAAAACAGATTGATTGAGTTGATTCAATCCAAAACTTTCTACA